AAAAGAGCCGTAGAAAATCGAAAGAAAAAAAGTAGAGAGATAGAGTAGAGAGAGATAGTAATAAAGGGCAAAAATGTCCAAGGGGGGCGGTGACTAGTAATAAGGGGGGCGATGAATAGTAATGCCCAAACTATTCGAAGAAAAAAATACTTGTGCAGTAAAGAATGAAAAAAAAAATTCGTATTGTGAAATAAATTATTAATAGTAAAGTAAAATAATTTGTAATATCAATTTAAATTCAGAAAATATTTTGTATGAAATAATACTCATTTTATTTAACATGTATTTTTTTAAAATTAAATAGAAAAATTAATTAATTCTACAGTTAATATAACGTCAATTAACAACAGAGGTGCATTAAAATAAAAAATGTATATTTATATCAAAAGAAAGTAAAGAAATTTATATAATTGTAACGTAGCGATAAAATATTAAGCAATTATAATTAAAAATTAACAAAGTTATTTAAAGTAGTACCTGTATTTGAAAATCAATTTGTTAACATGATTTTTTTCACACAGACACACACACACAAATATATGTGTGTATATATATTATCTACAACTCATTAGTTTTATTTTCAATTAATTTATTTTTTTTTCTAAGTTTGATTAATATTTTATATGCACAATTTTTTGCGCAACTTGTCGTCTGATTCGGTCTAAACCATAATATGTTGATTTGAACTGCTTTCACATCTCCAATGACCTGCAAAACACCGGGAAGGGTCCCAGCGGAAAAGGGTCCAATGCTCAAGTCAGTTTGTATTCAACAATAATATGGCAATAGTATACCTTGCGCGTGTATTTGTCGTGTATAAGTATAACATGTGTCTTTTTTATAGGCAAGGTTGCGTAATTATCTAGGGATTCCTGATAGCATTAGAACTCCTGGTAAGGCAAAGAGTCCTCCCATATCTTCCTTCTTATCAGACTAGATCTCCTATATGACTTCCTTTATTCAAGGGATCAGTTCCCTTATTCTATACGACCCAAATTCGAAACTACTCTTGCCCCTCCAAGACCATCCTTATAAGAACGAGAACATCGAGGTCGACCGATCCGTAGTGGCTAAGCTAAAAGCTCTTACCGATCTTTCATGATGAGCTAATCAGCCTGCATACCTCCAAAGAGTTACTAAGGTATCCTACTGAATCGACCCAGCGCCGAGCGGACATAACCAACGACCTTATCCCCCTCACCAAGGGGTGATCTCAAATATTTAGGTCTCGCCACCTAGCTGCAAATACCTGCCGAGCTCAATCAGAAGTACATCACGTGATCTTCCTTTGCTTGGACCAGGCCTATTTCTGGATACAGTCGGTGAGGACACCGATCTATCCTCTGGAATATGCCTCCCCGGTGCATTAGTCGTCGAGCTACCAGATGAGAGGTTTTGGCCAGGCACTTTGTGTTGTTGTACCACAATTATCTTTCCACATCTATTATATTATTAAATATTCAACTTTAGAATATTCAGTAATTTAAAATACAATGTGTATGAGTGTAATATTTTTACACTTTATGAAATATAATAATGCAATCAAAGCCTAATTATTATACTAGTACAGAGCCCGTGCGATGCACGGGGTGTACAATTTTAAGGTCATTTATCGAGTCTTATAATTATATAAATGAATTTTAAAAAAAAAATATGTACGGGATATATATAGTACGTGACCTGTAATAGACCAAAATGTGAACACGGGTGATGCACGGGGTGCACAATTTTAATGTCATTTATTCAGAGCTCGTGCGATGCACGGGGTGCACAATTTTCTAGTATGTGTAATAAAAATACATACCGTATGCACGGGACAGAAGCACTAAATGAGTCATTTCCACAGAGCTTGTCCGTTAAGTAGCTCCTGAACACGGGTGCACAATTTGTAGTACGTACCATAAAATCAGAACAGATATCCATACAATTAGATAATAAATTAGATAATAAATTAGATAATAAATTAGATAATAAATAAAGCCTTTTTTATTTTAGTAAAGATTTTATGTACTTTGTTTTTTTTACTTATCGGATGTTATGGGATTTTTTTTGTTAAACCAAGTTTATGGAATATAATACAAATACAATTAGAGGATTGAACAAAATCAGAACAGATTTTCATACAATTAGATAATAAAAAGGAATTGGATAAGGAAAATAAGGAAATAGATAAGAAAAAGAAGGAATTAGATAAAGAATTTTGAATCTGACTTTTTTTTAAATATAGATAGACTTTATGTACAAATTTTGACTTCACTGATTTTATGGAATTTGTTTTGACAAAACCGATGTTAATATGGAATAAGACACATAAATAAAGTCTTTTTATTTTAGTAAAGATTTTACGTCTTTTTTTTTTACTTGTCAGATGTTATGGGATTTTTTTCTTAAACTAATTTTATGGGATATAAGATAAATAAATAAAATAATTAAATAAAATTTTGGAGAGAAATAGCAATGCATTAATTACGTTGACTTTTCAATCTACTAAATTTGGTAATAGAATACCTTATATAATAAGTATAGATATACAAATAAATAACATGCCAAAATTTTAAAGAATAATTAATGTATTTAAATTTATTATCTAGTCATCAGTAATATCATTTAATGATGTGATCATTATCTCTTAAATGATAAATAAAATATTAATTTAAAAAAATATATTTGTTTTTTATATACTCAAATAAAAATTAAAAAATACAATCGTCAAATATAAATTATAATATATATAAGTAAAATTATTGCAAAAGTTAATAAAATTATTTAAGGAAAGAATCTGTTTGATCATATTTGAATAGGAAATGTGTATATGCAAACAATTAATGCATATAGTAAAAAATTTCCAAATAAAGTATGCATTAAATGTGAGTTGACTTTTCTTGCTACTATTTTTGGTAAATAGTATGGCTTTTAATATAAGTATAGATATATAAATATTAATTTCTATCCAAACTTAGCTACGAAACATAATTTTTTGTCACATAGGATTACGAATCGTGCGAGTCTGCCACTTAAGATCAACGCATTCGACAATTATATATAGGGGAATTGTATTATTCAACCTTGCCTATTTTTGTTTCTTTTGACATTGATATAACTAGAGAAATTGCTAGCTCGACCTGACCGGATTACGTAGGTATTTATGCCACTGGAGAAGGTGTTTACATCAAACTAAGACATTTCAGTTGCACCTCATTAGTGCACATGCCACCGAGGTAACTACCTAAAACCCCCTATGTCAAGGCTCGACCTAGTAGGGGGGTTAGCGAAATGAAGACGACCGACCTAAATAGCTCACTTACACCCCAGTTAATCACCTAAAAGTAAGCAGACAATAAGACTTGGAGACCTAGATGAGTCGTGAGACTCACCTCAACTTAGAATAAAAGGAAGGACCTGGAAAACATCAAACATATGAAAATAAGCACAACCATAGGACAAGGACGAATCTCGGACAGCTCCCGACAACCAGTTGTACCCTTGGGCAGCCCGTTGTACTTTCGGGCAGGCTTTGGGCAACAAGAGTTCTTAGGCGCCAAGTCACACAATTAATTGGGCATCAACGTAATCACAATATAAATAGAAGTAAGGTATGATTAGAGGCTTATTCTTCATCTAATGTCTTAAATATTCATGTCCCCATACTAACTTGATCGCCAGAATGCTAACGCAGGGAGCACATCTCTGCCCCAATTTCGCAGGTCATCAACTACGTCACAGACAGTTCCATCTCAAACGATCGAGTCACCAAGTTCATCAACCGGAGGTTCGGAGTGGTCCAGTTACCTAAAAATCGATATTATTTAGTACATCACTATCACACACCATTAAGCTAACTTGAGGCATCCTTAAATCTTTTTTCCTGAAACCTGTTATAACCAAACACGCAGTAGCGTGAGTCAAATCGAATAATGTTTTGAAGTTTGAATCAACGTTAATGTTATTTAATGTGAATAATATAGGTATTTAATGCAATCAAAGCCTAATTATTATATATATAAATACTAATTTCTATCCAAACTTAGCTACGAAACATAATTTTTTGTCACATAGGATTACGAATCGTGCGAGTCTGCCACTTAAGATCAACGCATTCGACAATTATATATAGGGGGATTGTATTATTCAACCTTGCCTATTTTTGTTTCTTTTGACATTGATATAACTAGAGAAATTGCTTGCTCGACATGACCGGATTACGTAGGTATTTATGGCACTGGAGAAGGTGTTTACATCAAGCTAAGACATTTCAGTTGCACCTCATTAGTGCTCATGCCACCGAGGTAACTACCTAAAACCCCCTATGTCGAGGCTCGACCTAGTAGGGGGTTAGCGAAATGAAGACGACCGACCTAAATAGCTCACTTACACCCCAGTTAATCACCTAAAAGTAAGCAGACAATAAGACTTGGATACCTAGATGAGTCGTGAGACACACCTCAACTTAGAATAAAAGGAAGGACCTGAAAACATCAAACATATGAAGATAAGCACAACCATAGGGACAAGGACGAATCTCGGACAGCCCCCGACAACCAGTTGTACCCTTGGGCAGCCCATCGTACTTTCGGGCAGGCTTTGGGCAACAAGAGTTCTTAGGCGCCAAGTCACACAATTAATTGGGCATCAACGTAATCACAATATAAATAGAAGTAAGGTATGATTAGAGGCTTATTCTTCATCTAATGTCTTAAATATTCTCTGTCCCCATACTAACTTGATCGCCAGAATGCTAACGCAGGGAGCACATCTCTGCCCCAATTTCGCAGGTCATCATCAACTACGTCACAAACAGTTCCATCTCAAACGATCGAGTCACCAAGTTCATCAATCGAAGGTTCGGAGTGGTCCAGTTACCTAAAAATCGATATTATTTGGTACATCACTATCACACACCATTAAGCTAACTTGAGGCATCCTTAAATCTGTTTTCCTGAAACCTATTATAACCAACCACGCAGTAGGCGTGAGTCAAATCGAATAATGTTTTGAAGTTTGAATCAACATTAATGTTAAACCTATGAACCAAAAATACTGTTTGTAAGTCAAACAGTAGATAGTTATTTTAACCATTATGTTGTTATGGCATGTATTGTCATTTGTTGAAGGCAGCAGTTCACCCAGTCCAGTTAGCAGTTATAGAAAAGAAGTAAAGTCCAAAATTTGCAGCAAAAATAAAATCCTTCCAAACTCATAACATCACATCACATTAAACTACACATAATTAGTGGAAACAGTAGACATCTTATTAATTCCAGACAGGGGATACATATATATATATATATATAGGAAAAAGTTATGGTCCCGTTATGGTACCATCCCGCCGGTTGTTTTAATCGTTGGATCCATGTGTAGCTGATGATTCAACGGTTAAAACACCTGACGGGATAGTACCGTAACGGGACCGTAGCATTTCCATATATATATGACGGATGCAGCAGCAGAGTACTAGACCTTAGTCTGATGAAGCCCATTAATCCTCCTATTACTATACACAAACCTCCTGGCCACAAACACATACCCACATAAATTGAGCACACTCATCCCAGCCAGAAGCCAATAAAAGTCGTTCACGCGCGCCCTATTAATATTGTCTCCCAGCCACCCATGCCCGCTAATCCCCTGCACCACTGCAATCAATGCAGTACTCAAAAAACTCCCGACCCCCGTAACCGTAACATAAGCGGCTGCCCCTATACTCCGCATCCCGACCGGCATCTGCTCGTAAAACAGCTCTTGCATCCCCACCACTGCAAACACATCCGACACCCCCAGCAGCACGTACTGCGGGAGCAACCACCAGGCGGCCATGGGGACCACCGATCTCGGGCTGTCTAGCAGCCCGCTCTCGTTTGCAGCTGCCACGCGCCTCGACTCCACGCATGCTGCCACGGCCATGGTGAGGGCCGAGAGGGCCAGCCCAGCCCCAATGCGCTGCAGGATTGTTATCCCGGACGGGTGGCCTGTGAGGCGTCGGGCGAAGGGGACGAAAGCCCGCTCATAAAGCAGGACGCAGGTGAGGATGGTGAAGCCCGTAAAGACCTGGAAAGAGGCGGGTGGGAGCTCAAAGGTACGGGTGATGGACCGTTTCATGCTCGTGCCTTGTTTTGTGAAGTAGGTGCCGAGCTGGGCTATGACGACGGCAAACATGAGGCAGCTGAGCCAGATGGGGATGAGCTGGAAGACTAGCTTCGCCTCCTCGACTTGGGTCGCCGTGCATAGCCTCCACGGGTCACGTCTGTTGCTCGACTCGTCTTTTTCGTCTATCCACGAGGCTTTGTCTAAGAACCTGAAGTGGATGGTCCGAGCCAAAAGCCGGTCACTTGACTCACTTCCATCCTCGAATACACCACAGCCCTCTGGCAAGCGCCGCTTTCGGGCAGCGGCAACCACAACCTGGGCCACCCGGGTGAGGGGGCTCCCCACGGGTGCCTGGCGGCGGTAAGTCCCGCTTCCGGCCAGAAATAGGAGCAACGCGGCGGCAACCACCGCAGCCAGAATCCCGAAGCCGAGGCCCCAACCCACGTAATCCTCCACGTAGATAACCACCAGGACTGCCAGCGTGGCACCGGCCACGATCCCCACGTACCACCAATTGAAGAAGGAGCTCTTCTCCCTCTCCTCGAATTGGTCGGCCGCGAAGGTCTGGACGCAGGGCTTGTGCCCGCCTTCTCCCACCGATAAAACGTACAGTGATATGAAGAAAACCGTCTGCCGGAGGTGCTCAGGGACTGCGACCACGCTCGCCGTCAGCAAAATCAGGCCCTGTCCCAATTCAAAGAAATTGATACTAATTCTTACGCAAGTCTTGTTTTTTGTTTGTACGATAATAAATGAATTGGATCATCAGAAACAGATGAGACGAAAAAGGAAAGAAAAGTCAAAAAAGGTATACTATACAACGAGGTAGGTGACGGAGGCAATAAGGATGGTCCTGTAACGGCCCACGTAAGAGTCCGCCAGAAAGCCGCCCACCACCGGGAACATGGCGGAGACGCCTTGCCACGTGTTCACATTCTTGGCGGCGGTGGCCGTGGGCTGGCCCAGCACCTTGGTCAGGTACATGAACAGGTTGCCGCTCACTCCGTAGTATGCAAATCGCTCCCCCACCTCCACAACTGTGTTTAATTAATTAATTATGTATTATGGAACATTAATTTAAAATTATTAAAATTAATTAAAAGGAGAGAGATCAAGAGATGTAAACATACAAATGATGAAGATGGCAGATTTCCAGCCACCTGTTGAAGGTGAATTTGATATTTGTAGTTCGTCGGCCATAGGAATTATTGTGTAAGAGACAGACAACCCAACAAGGTTCAGTGTGCTTCTCTTTTATACTACATACAATCAGTGTCCTACCCGGCTCGATTCCAGATTTGTCGGTTCCCCTGTGGATCCGAAAACCGGAAGTTCCTGTACTAAAATGAATTTTTTTTTTTTTAATAAAAAGAAATAAAAAAAAACACAAAAACGCGAGGAAATGCACCAAGACAACTTTATACCAAATCACAATATTATTACCATTTATGTAAGAGTATCGAACAATAATCAATATCTATACTACAATTAGTATGAATCTCGTGCGATTTACGGGTAAAAGATATCCATTAATATTTATAATTAAAAATATTCGTTAAATAATTTTTATAAATTAAAAATATTGAATCAATATGTAATACAATTTACCTACGGATAAGAGATATTATTAATATTATAAATTAAAGATGTTCATTAAATAATATTTATAAATTAAAATATGAAATCAATTTACCTATATTAATTTATTAAAAATATTATATGAAATTAAAGTTGTTAAATATTGCATAAAACAAATCTGTTTAAAATTAGTACACCAACCCGTACGGTACGTATAATTGATAATAAAATATATTATATTCATTTCAAAATAAGTGTCATTTTAAATTTTGTATTCCAAAATTCGATCTAACTAGGGAAAGTTCTTTAAAAATCCCTAAACCAATTTCTGACTTCCTCTTCAGTCCCCCTTCAAATTTTTTTCCTTCTAACTCCCTACCCCTCTAATCATTCTTCCACTTAACTCCACATCTTTAAAATAAATGAAAGACAAATGAAGTTATGACATCACCCCACAAACACTTAACATTATACATTATTTTATTAGTTTCTCTCTCCTTCCTACAATCTTTTTTAATTATTTTTTATTTTTTTCTCTCTTTCTAATATATTTGTTTATTATTTTCTTTTTATGATCTTCTACTATTATCTCTCATAATAATATTTTTTCTTAATTTTTTATTAATTAATATAAATATATTTTTGTATAAACTATCTAAATAAAAAAATATATGTTTTACTAATCTTTATTTCATATAAATCTATATTATAATAAATCTATAAATCTATAATTTTTGTCGTCCAAATTTATACTATATCTATAAATCTATACTAAATCTATAAATCTATATTATACTAAATTATAAATTTCAAACTTTATTAAAAAAAAATAATTATTCAAAGATCGATCTAATTTTCAAGAGGAATATATATCAACTAGGACGATACCCATGTACACAAGTGTACGTAAATATATTAATATTTGTACAATAGAAAAACTAAATAATTTATTTTTATGTTGTAAAATTATGTATAATGAATATATATATATAAAAAAAGAATGAATAACTAACAAAGTAATAACTAATTCAAAATGGGGTCCGTATTTTTGCATCTAATTTTCTTATATAATTTTAAAATCTATGCTAAAATGCATTAAAATGATTATTTTATGGTGTATTACTGAATTAGATTTTTATTATATTTTTCATAAAATAATTTATGTTCTTCATATTTTTATAATTATTTGTTTAATAAATATAGTTTTATTTATTTATAATGGCAGATGTAAATATTTTTTATTTTATATATGCAATATGGATGTCAAATTGAATATCCTTAAAATATAACTATTTTGAGATATAATTGTTGATACCTAATTTTGGCATCGCCTATTAAAATATTACACGTGGATATGAATTAAATTAATTGTTATGTTTTATTTTATTGTTAAGGCTCAAAAATAACACCGCTTCTAATAATATCGGGCCCATTAAATATACATATATATACCCCGATGATGGACATCATCGAGATAAGTCTGAGGGGCTTGATGTTTCTTTTTCTTATCTAAAGGAGGCGGTGCCTTAGCGGGGGGTCTTTATGTCTCCCTAATTTTTCTCGCCTTCTTCATCAACCTCTCTAACAAAAAATCACCAAAAAAAAAAAAAACACAGAAATCCTATATAAACACGATTTTTCCAAGAACTCAATGCCGGAAGTATTTTCGGTGTAGCGCCTCCGACGCTCAAGTAAGTATGAGAGAGATGAAGAGAGCTTTGCTCAGTGGGAGCAGTAGCGGTGAGAAATGAATAGAGAGAGTGAAAGTTAGGGTTTTAGGTTAACTCATCTCTTTTGTATAGAATGAAATACCTACTTGAAGTACCAAAAATGCCCCGGTCGATATACATGAAGTGTCCAAAATACCTTGGTTGGTTCGCAATTGCAAATAAGCGCTCTTAAAAGTATTGGAAAAATGATCAGCAGAAGGTGATTGTTTGTTGTAGCGATGAGGGTTGTGATCGGAAAAACTTTCAGTCTGATGATTTCTCGGAGGGAGCAGATGAGTTGTTGCAAGATAAATCGATCTATTCTTGGAGATCTTGCACCAAAGGAGAGGAGCAGATATTCAATGTGGCCGACGAATTTCGAAAGAGTGTCAAAAACTACGCGATTGCAAACAAGCGGTCTTTTAAGTATCGGAAAAATGACAAGCAAAAGGTCATCGTTTGTTGTAGCGATGCGGATTGTGAATGGAGAGTATATGCATTGTTATACAAATGGGATCACCAGTTTGCCATCCAAAAATGCAATCTCTCTATACTTGTGTACTCATCTTCATTCCAAAGAGTGGGTAGTAAATGACATTTTATGAGTAATATTTTTTGTACAATATACTGACATTTCATACTGCAATATAGGTAATAGTTTTGTGAAGTTTTAATCGGTGTATTACATTTTTATTCCAGAAAGCTGGTACTAATTGATCAATAGCAGGTACTTCGTAGAAGAAAAAGCGGTATTATATCCGTAAAAACGGGTACCAGTCAATGAGTTGAAGTGTATTAAGTAGTGTTTTTCCATTAGTGTGTTGAGTTCGTGACCAATTTGCCATTAAACTTAATTAACCAAATATCAAATGTCAAAGAAACTAATGTCAGAGTGATTATGGGTTGTATACACATCATTTGCGACCGAAATTCGGTCTTCTTTTTTGTTAATTACAAGTGGTACTAGGGACATGATATCTGGTACTATACTGCCATAAAGTGGTACTGCATTACACTATGACTGGTACCACTTTTTGTCAATGTTGAGCAGAATTGAAATAATCAATTTTTTGTCACAAAAGTTGGTACTAATCGCTCAATAACAGGTACTACGTAGAAGAAAATGAGGTAGTATTTTCGTATAAATTGGTACCATTCATGAGTTGAAGTATATTAAGGTGTTTTTCCATTAGTACTGTGTTGGGTTCGTGGCCAATTTGCGATTGAACTTAATTAACCAAATATCAAATCTTATATAAGCTAATGTCAAAGTGATCATGGGTCGTATAAGCATCATTTGCCACCGAAATTCGGTCTTCTTATGTATTCATTACAAGTGGTACTAGGGCAAGATATCTGGTACTAAGTCTCCATAATGTAGTACTGACTTACTATATGACTGGTACTACTTTTGGTAAATGTTGAGCAGAATTGAAATAATAAATTTTTCTTCAAATAAAGTAGGTACTATTTGATCGAAATCAGGTACCACGCAGAATAAGATGCGGTACCATATTTCCTAAAACTGGTACTATTATCAAAAACGCGATTTCTTTAATCCTTCATGTTTACCATGACATGTGGATTGTTCACACGTGATTTGGATGAAAAAAGTGGAATTGAAAACATATAGATAGAATTTGAAGTAGTCATGTATAATGATTTCTATGAGATGAAGTGTGTCATTCAATGAAATGAAGTCTAGTAGTAGTGTTTTCTCATTAGTGTATCGAGTTTACGACCACTTTGCGATTAAACTCAATCAAAGACATTTAAAATCTTATATAAACTAATGTAAGAGTGATCATGTGTCGTATAAACATTATTTGCAACCGAAATTCGGTCTTCTTATGTGTTCATTACAAGTGGTACTAGGGACAAAATATTTTGTACTAACTCTCCATAATGTGGTACTGACTTACACTATGACTGGTACTACTTTTGGTAAATGTTGAGCAGAATTGAAATAATCAATTTTTCTTCAAAAGAGTAGGAACTATTCAATCAAAATCAGGTACCACGCAGAATAAGATGCGGTACCATATTTCCCAAAACCGGGACTATTATAAAAAACGTGATTTCTTTAATCCTTCATGTCTACCATGACATGTGGATTGTTCACACGTGATTTGGATGAAAAAAAGTGGAATTGAAAACATTAGATAGAATTTGAAGTAGTCATGTATGATTTCAATGAGATGAAGTGTGTCATTCAATGAAATGAAGTCTAGTAGTAGTGTTTTCTCATTAGTGTATCGAGTTTACGACCAATTTGTGATTAAACTCAATCAAAAACATTTAAAATCTTATATAAACTAATGTCAGAGTGATCATGGGTCGTATAAGCATCATTTGCGACCGAAATTTGGTCTTCTTATGTGTTCATTACAAGTGGTATTAGGGACAAGATATCTGGCACTAACTCTCCATAATGTGGTACTGACTTACTATATGACTGGTACTACTTTTGGTAAATGTTGAGCAGAATTGAAATAATCATTTTTTCTTTAAAAAAAGTAGGTACTACTCGATCGAAATCAGGTACCACACAGAATAAGATGCGGTACCATATTTCCCAAAATCGGTACTATTATCAAAAACGTGATTTCTTTAATCCTTCATGTCTACCATGACACGTGGATCGTTCACACGTGATTTGGATAAAAAAAGTGGAACTGAAAACATATAGATAGAATATGAAGTAGTCATGTATGATGATTTTTATGAGATGAAGTGTGTCATTCAATGAAATGAAGTCTAGTAGTAGTGTTTTCTCATTAGTGTATCGAGTTTATGACCAATTTGCGATTAAACTCAATCAAAAACATTTAAAATCTTATATAAACTAATGTCAGAGTTATCATGGGTCGTATAAACATTATTTGCGACCGAAATTTGGTCTTCTTATGTGTT